GTTGGTTGGTCAAACTATAGAGAAGTAAACACAATGCTTAGTGAAAGGACTTACACTTTGCATTTGAGGCAGATTCTCCAATTGGGGACACGCCAAAGCGTTCCATTTTGGCGGGTTGAAAAAGCCATCAAGTACTTGGCTCTCCTTTTAGAAGGGGCTGGAAGACCCTTTTAGATTTGAAATTCTTCGCACCCTCCACCCACTTCCATTTTCCCGTGTGTCCAAAAGGCCGCCTGCCCGGTTTTTGAGACCGCTTCTGATTTCCTCACCCAATCTCGTGAGAAGCAAGCCCAACAGGTCCTGCCTTAACCTGTCCTCGGACAGCTAGCCCTTACCAGGCTGCTGGCATTGCTAAATGGTCTGCCACGAAGTAAGCTGAAAGGAGTGTCAATATATAGTATGTACATAAAAAAAAAAAATTGACCTAGCTACATATTGTAATTTTCCGACGAAGGGGTGCCGGTCCTTGAATACATGTGGCTCCGCCACTGGTCATTCTAGATACAGGCTTTTGAATCTTTTGATTGGAAGAATACACAAGAAATTTTGAGCATTTCAGTCTTTTGCTGATTTTATAATTACCGTTCATCTTACTAAAGGGTTTATTAACTTACTTGGACGAGTGGTTTGTGCATCAGAAATCCCTTAGCATCTACGTGGGGTAAATGGAGAATTAGTAGTTCCCTTTTTTTTATCTGAAGGGTAAGGGGTAAATGGAGAAGTATCAGTCTATGTTTCAGTGTTTCCATTTGTGGGGACAGACAAGTCGTTTTCCTGCCTCTCGACAATATTTATTTGGCATTCATCACTGAATCTTGCCTATATATTCACGTATAGAATAATGGCTTATATTTTCACTACTGCCAGCCTATAGGCTTTATCAAAGCACCAGGATTTTCACTAAGGGGTGTCAAAACATAAAAAATTAAATACGTGGAAAAGCCAAGGTTATTCAACATATAATATGTATGCATAAAATAAATTTTTTACCTATACATAGTGTAATTTTCCGGCAACGTGGCTCCGCCACTGAGTACTGTGGTATCTTGACTTGATCTTGAAGACCACTTGTTTATATTACTTTCTTTCTTCTACAGTGATAATCAAGACTTCCAGATAACATTTTATTGCAGTAAATTGCACGTGAATTCAGATGTGTTTGCTAAACTACTATGCTATGATTAACTGACTTAAGATTTCTGAGCTAGAACTAGGTAACACCGATAGGCTGTCTACGTCCCATCCTTTGGGGTACGGCCCTTCCCCGGACCTTGCGTGAACGCGGATGCCTTGTGTACCGGGCTGCCGAACTAGGTAACACCCCTTATTCAGGAAGAACCATAGCGAAGAAATGAAGGGACAAATAAAGTTCTTTTTTACCTTGTAGAAACATTCCTAGAGATGTCCTTAATTATCTGTGTTTTTGAATCGTAATTGTTATTGATGTCATAGCCACTGAGGCTGAATCCTTATAAAACATATGCAGGGACCTCAACCCATTGCATGATGTCATGGATCAAGAAGATTACAAAGAGAAGTACTATAAAGACTTGATTCCTTTAGGCCTCAAGTATTCTGAGGTAAATGATAATCTTACGACATTTGCACAACTCTTCAACATAATCATATCTCTGAAGCACTTTTCTTCTGGACCCTCTCTAAATTGATTATATGGCGACTTAACACAGACTTCATGCAGCTTTTACCCTGGGGAGGGAAGCTCACCAGCGAGTCTCTGAGATTCTTTTCGCCAATAGTCATATGGACGAGATTCTCATCTAGCCCATACAACCATTCAGTTCTGTTTTCTGCATTCAAGGATTATTACAAGGTACCAGTAAACTATGTCCCATATTCTCCCTTTTATGTTAGCACTCTTGTACATCTTATTGGGCGCTTGGACATAAGAGTTGAGAGTTCCGGAAAAAAGTAAAAGAAATTTAAGTGAAAATTAGAGTTATGTTTGAACATGAATATAATTTAGAGTTGTTTTTGAATTTTTGAGAGTGATTTGAAGTGAAATTTTTGAAAAATAGTTTTTTGGAGTCTTTCAAATTTTCGGAAAATTTTGAAATTCAACTTCAAGTGAAAATTGAAATTTTCATGGCCAAACACTGATTCCGAAAAAAGTGAAATTTTTTTGAATTTTTTTTATGGCAAAACGGGCCCTTAATCTAGCACAATATATATATTTTAGCTTCTTTTTTCAAAAGATGTTATACGCAAGTATGTGAGTTTAAGAAAGCCAAGTCTGTTCACTAGGCTTACTGCTTTATTTGTTTCTATTACAGGCATGGCTTGAGCTGACGGACAGATCAGAAGAGGAAACTGATGTTTCTCAAGTTGCTCGCAATCGTGAAGCTCAGCATAGATACGTGACATGGAGAGCAGAAAAAGTGAGTATAGCTGTTCTCTTTTGTGCCTTCTCTTACATCAGTCCGGCTTTTGGTTTTCTACCATGATTAGCTTAGAGTTCTGATATTGTTTACAGCATGCTGATATCCCAGTTGTAGAGACAATAGTGAATTAATAACCTCTCCCTTCCCCCGTCTATATTCTCTTGGATTTCTTAGGCCCTTGGTTAAAGTTTTCCTTGAACTGAAAATATGCTCTTTTTTTTTTATAAAACAAAAATCTTGGAAACTAAAATAGAAGTTCTCTAAAAACCAAATACTATTCTGATCTAGGTTTTTATTCAGCTAACTGTTGCAAAATCGGCCCTTTTGATTCAGTTTGATCTCTCAACTATTTTCCTCAAAGACTTCGTAACACACTCAGAATACAAGAACTCCGTAAATTAAAATTATTTTCTTTGTTACTACTATATCATCGTGCTTATTTAAACAATATATGCATTGGTTTATTCTATTTAACCTTTTCTTCAACTTCAGCTCCAGTGTTATCCAAATGCTACTCTATTTATTTGGATATAACTTCTCAAATTTTAATTTTTTGGTCTCGGTACGCAGGCCTAGTTCACCAACAGCTACTATGCAAAATATTGCGTGAAGTTGAAATTTAGTTAAAAACCTTGAAAACAAAGGTTCCAGTAAAGAATCTGAATCTTCATACGGCCTTTCTCATTTTTGTTACTACAACTTCTGCCCCGTTCTCTCCATTTTTCTATTCTTCTTCTTGATCTCTCTATTGATGCGAAATGCCCTTTGTACCAGGATCCAGGTCATGGAGTTTTGAAAAGACTGGTAGGGGAAGCTCTTGCCAAGGTATATCATTATTTCATCCAAAGACTCCTATGCCTTGCTATTGGCAGCTCTAATAATTCCTTTTTTTCCCCCGTTTTTTCATCACTCAGGATGTGATTAGTGAATTCCTATTCAATGGTGTTAACAAGCTTGGTAGCAAAACATTTCTTGATTACTTCCCAGAGTACAGATGTGAAGATGGTAGAGTAAACGAAAAGCGCAGTATGATCGGGAAATCATTTGAAAACCGACCATGGAATGCAAGAGGAGAATTCATAGGTAATATTATTTAGAAAGCCTGATGTAGTTTTACAATTTTCCTTATTTTTTCTTTACGTAGTTTGTCAACCGATTCCAACTTGATTGGGATTAAGGTGTAATTGTTGTTGTAATAGTAGTAGTTGTCGTCTCTATCAATGTTAATATTGGATGCAAGAGGAGAATTCATAGGTGATAGGGTTGATAATCTGTTGTAATATTCGTAAGTTCTCTTTATTTTTTTAGTTCAGTCTCAGTCAATGTAAACAGCTCATCCTGTTCCCTAATTACTTTCTTCATTTCCCTCAATCATATGTTACTGTGGGTTCTATTTTATAGCCCAAAAGAGTTCATATTTTGATCTTCAGACTAGGAGTCATCAATGATAAAGGTATATTCTCAATAGTTAAAAGATGGCAGGGAACCTTTCACTATTAGACTCTGCAGCAAACTTGATTTTATGTGAAATTTACAATAAAGTTAGATGGCAGTGAACTTTACAATAAATTCTAGGATTTTTTATACGTAATTTGGAAAAGCAATTTCCATGTCTTCAAAACAAGACATGAAATAGCTTAGATGTTCTTCAGTTACTCTTCTTTGATGGACCCTTAATTTAGGATGTGAAATCTTTCTTGACGTGACTGAACAAGGTTGATCAATGGTAGATGCGTGGAGCTTTCTCTAGACCTTAATTAAACTGTCTTCTTCTTAGTTTGGGTTCTTGCTTAGTGAAGCGTAATCTTGTTTGCTTATGGCTGAGCCACATTTTGTTGGGTGAGAGTCAAAGAAAGGATGGTGAGCAACCATGCACGGTATTTCTTGACCTTCTCGACCGTCTCTGAGGACCAGTTAAGCTAGTGCCAAAGAATGTTGTCAGGTTGGACTGAGGGGTTGGTGTTTTGAGAAATGGAATAAACTGTTATCAGACCAACGGCTGGGAAGGTAATCGTAGAAATGAAGCCTTTCACCATTCACCACGCCGACCATCAAATACGAGATTGGACTCTTTATTAAAGATTTAATGGAATGACACACCCCACCCCAAGAGCGCTTCCATTTAAATGTTACACCTTGTGTATTTGGCGTTATCTTGCTGTAAAGGGGCTAATTCGATAGGAAGATAATTTCTATGAGATATTTAAATGATGCGATAGTTATACGTTAAGATTGGAAGTCATTCGAGTTGTGATTAAAAATTCGACAAAGATCGCCGCAAGTTACGGGTTTGAAATTTCACTGAAATTTGGATAAAATGTTGATGAGCTTTTCTCTCAATATACTAGGAGTTATGGTGTGTTCTACCCATCGAATCGAAGGTCTATGAGTCTAGTTTCCAACGCAACAAACCGTTCGTTAATACGACTTCGGGGTAGAGAGATATTAACATTTTCGTACAGGGGTGCACACTGTTACGGGAACAGTGTGCATAGTCGGTTTTGGTTAATTTTTTTTTTATTTAAGTCAGTTTTAAAACATAACCCCTGCGTTTTATCCTCTCCAAAACAGAACCTAAAAACTAGGGATTTCCTCTCAAACTCCTCCCATCCATCTAGCCAATCATAACAACAATTTAGTCATCCTTAAGATAGAGAACACCATGGTAGCTTCGGAATCGTGAATTCTTCGGTGTTTCACTTTTTGTAGGAAGACTCCGCCTTGAAGTAATCTCGAATTTAAAGTAATTCTGGTCACATAAGGTATGATTTAACTTCCTCTTTGATCTTTGTAAACTTCTACCACAAGAATTCCTAAGAAATAGTTGAAACCTCTATAGAAATGTTCTTGATTTTTTTTTAAGCAACCTCTCTTAATATGACTTGATTGTTGGGGCTGTTTTATATGGTTTTATTGTGTTGTTTGGATCTATGAAGACATGGATGGAATCGTGTCGATGAGGAGATGTAGTAAAGTAAAAATTTGGTGGTGTGTTGGGGGAAATTAAGCTACAAAGAGTCTACAAATTCATGCTCGCAAGTTGTTCGCTTAAATGTCTAAATGAAGAATTATATAAGATATGAGCTTGAATTTGATATTGAATGGTTCTTATTATGTAGGAAATCATTCCTAAGGCTTTCGAGGTCTCGGAAACCGTATATAACTCCATCGACAAGGTATGTAGGGCTTTCGCTATACTTTTCGGCATGACTAGAATTCGAATACACGTTTATATCGAATTGTTTCGTCGGATTTGAGTTATTTCACCTTCAACTTATAAAGATGCTTAGACCTGATCGTTTCTCATATATTGCTTACTTCAAAGAATATCTATGAATTCTCGGTTTTCCTTGTTCCTTGCTTAAAAAGAACTAGAGCCTTTTTACTCGTTCTCCTTTCGACGTTCATATAAATCATGAATAAGTAACACTTACTTCAAAGGTACTCATAATACATAACTCTCATGTTCTTAGGACTTGTTGGCCCGTAGTTGAAAAATTATATATTTTAGCAACAACCATGATAGTCGGGGAATAATGATGATAGGCCACTTCGACTCTTCTTAGAATACGTCTTTTAAGGTTAGTTTTGCATTGCACTTATATAATTCATGATTTAATGTATGTATGTATTTACTTTCATTACCGAGCCGCACTATAGACGGTCGGGTATGACACCTATTGTGTAACCACTGATCAGTTGGGATTATCGAGCTTCACGTGGCCGGGTACGATTCTACCGAGCCTTTATTATGGTCGGGTATGTTATGGATATT